TTGCTTTTTTTTCGTTGAAGATTGAAGTTTATCGCAGGAATATTTGTCCCTTAAAATGAGTTATAATACTTTTTTTTAAGGACAGGAAATATCTTTTAGATAGGCGATAAACTTATGTGTTGACCGTTTTGTTGGTACTTGTTCTTTGTTAATTAAAACTTTCAAAACTCTTTTTAAATGACCTTTCTTGAATGAAAACAAAAACATTGATTTATGCACTAAATTCCTGCACGAATCCTATATCTATTTTCAAGCACAATTTTTGAAATGAATTGCTAACTCCATTTGTTTCTTTCTGCACAACAGTTATATTTAATTGTGAGATACATGCATTTTTCTAATGACTGGGATGGCGTTTTCATGTTCCGATTGACAAATTAGCCAAAAATGGTATTCTTTCATGTTTCTGTAATTAATAGTTGAATAATTCATGACAAACCTCAAAAAAAATAAATAAATAATTTACTTTGTAGTTGAAACGAACCATTTAGCAGTAAAATTATTGTATTTTAAAGTAAGAGCTTTTTTCTTATTGTGGAATAATATAATTTTTGAACTGAGAAATTGAGAATTTATTTTCACTTCTTGAAACTGTATGGTGATTTCTTTATAATGCGGGTATAGTGCCTTGTAACAAATTATCCTAACTCCAGAATAACTTTCTTTTTATGGGCAGCTGATGACCTGTACGATTTTTGAATGTATTATTTTCAATTACAGTTAATGTTATTGAAAATTACGCGGTAAAATTTAGGTTCTCATCTCCGAAGAGAAACCTCAGATGATGTTTAAGAATTCGTCAGCATTAAGCATTTGCAAAATGCAATTTTTTGTATTTTGGGAAAAAATGGATATGATTTCAGTAACGGCTTGACTGAGTGTGCGCAAGATTTGATGCAGTTTGGGCAACAGAAAATATCCGAAAGTTTGTTCACACCCGAGCATTTCAAGACTATTGCTGACTTCTTGCTCAATTCAGTTCTGCCCACATATTGCTTCAACAAGTTTGCCATTTAGAGTTTCCTTTTAGTTTCTTGAAAATTTCATTATCGGGTAAAACCATTATGTTTTTTCACTTTTTTATCGTTTTATTAAATTATATGTTTATCATTGATTGTCGTTATCATGTTGATTTTTCGTTTCTTTTGATTAAGTTATCTCTTTCTTCCTCTTATGTCTTTTTGTAATATCCATTAATTTACTAATAATGAAACACTTTTTTCTAGAGCTGAGAGATATTATGGGACGTTTCATTTCATATCTGTCTAATTTAATTTTAGTCAATTGTAAATAATTAAAACGAAGAAATGGATATCAAAACGAATGAAAGAAATATAGTATCATCAGCTATTAATATTTAGCATCGACGATGGATACTGGATATCAGATACGGCAGCAATGATTTATGCAGATGCTATGGGTGATGTCAATAAAAATAATGACTGTATATCTAAATGGAGATGGATTATTGCCCAAATGGCCCAGTTTTGTATAAATAATCGCTTGAAAACACCGCTTGGCAAACCACTGGATACTTTCCTTGCTTTCGAAAGTAACACTTAATAAATTTTCTTAGAATTTATTAAATATCAATCTTGAAGATGTTAGTATACATTATATTTGCTCAAAGTGTAATACTTTACAACTGTTGTAGTTTTTTATACCTTTCTTGATCTGAATTTCTTATGGGTTCATTCAGCTTATTTATTCACAAATTGAATTTTGATCTTCAAGTCTTCACTTCACTTTAAGTTTTCCTTATTTGGTTTTATACGGTGTTAGTGCTTTAGTCATCCTTCCCCTACAACTGTTTCAATCATTTGTCTTCCAATTTCATTTTTCCATTACTTTGGAAATTCTTTAAAAAAACAACGGTAGCACCTTTGTGCTTTGTTCAATATGTAATGGGTAAACTGTGGTCTGCAAAAATTTCTGTATCATATCACGTAGATAATTGGAATGCAGTTCCGCGTCGAGGATTATCTTTCCTAAATTACTGAGCACGCACTATCTTTATCTTTAAAATTTTTTCTTGAGAATGAATTAGTCATATATTTTTCCCAATAATTTATTACAATACTTATCTGTTTTATGCATCAGTACCTTACTCAAGTTTCATTTTAAATATTCGTCGTTATTTTAGACGAAATACGGCGGTTAGCCAGTAGTGCTCTTTCACGAAAACCAGTACCAAGTGGTAGAAGTGTTAAGGACGAAGTAGTACAGAAAACGGTTACAATAAGTAGAAGAGGTGTTGTTGAAGATGAAGATGAAGCAGAAGTGGAAGTTGAACGTGAGGCGCGTCAGCTAACAACCTCGGAGCAATGGTGGCGTGTTCGTGCCTTGTTGGATATGATTGAAATGTTGGACAAACTGATAATTTATGCATGCCGTGGGTCTATATTCCAGTTGTCTACGGTTTCACAGGTAAGTAATGATTTGGTTTTGCAAAGGAGTGTTTTCACTGGAAATTGTATTGAACAGAGGAGCACAAAAACGTTTGAAATTGTTTTCTTGTTTTCCTTAAAGATTATTGAAATTTTTGTGCAGGTCATTTGTCACTGACATCTATTATTGTACTGCACTATATTTTCACCTGAGCGCCTTAAATGCTGGCATCCTTTCTGGCATATACTTAAGCGATGTATAGAAAGCCGTGAACATTCACATCTTCCTTGCATGGAGCCAACGAGCGCCTTTTAAACCAGCGAGTATTGAACAAAAATTAATTTCCCGAATTTGTCTGGAGTTAACTGAACCTAGAATAACTATGATCGATGTTTGATTATAGTTGATTTTAGTTGTCACAGCAATTTCTTACTACAAATCAAGCCAGTTGTGCAAATTGGCTTTCACGTTTATATCTACCTATGATGGCTGTTGCATATACAAGCAACAACTTCGCCCAAGTGGTACGTTTAGGAGGTTGTTCGTTGAGAGATATCGGAAAGCGCATTGAAGAGAAAGGAAATAAGGATAGCATTGACGAAAAAGGTCTCTCTTTAAACTCTCTGGCGTTTGTTTTGCGATATTGATATTTTCATTACTTACCATTAAATGCTTATACTAGTGAACATAGTTAATGTATACTCTAAGATACTTGTATAAGTAAATAAATGCTTGGACATACGCTCCAGTCAACTTACTGGTAACTGAAGGAATTTGTATTGCAGGTGAAATAGATTCCGTTGCTCATACATGTATTACTTGGATGGTGAAAGCACTGATCGATCTGGGTCGTCCACAAGCAATATTGGGTTTGTATGCATGGGTAGAGAAGATTTACGGCAAACAGTATGTCTGGATAAAATGCGCAGCCCAAATGGCTGCTGGAAGGTAAATTATGAATGTACTAAACTAACGAATTGCTTTATATATTAGAAATGTTTTGGAATTCTTAACAAAAAGCGATTCTTTCTGCCTTGAATTGTTTTTTCTTAAATCATTTTTAGGGTCGAGCCTGCATTGAATGGTTTGAAGGAATATCTGGGTAATGAAAATTTATCCGAAAATATACAGAAAACTATACGACAGCTAGTAAATTTATTTTCATATTTTATCGTTTCTTGTTCGTTTTCTATTTTTTGGTTTCCTGAAATGTTCATTTCTTCATTCAGGTTTGGTATTTGAGCTTTTCTGATTTTTGAAGATCACATATGGCTTAGAAGTACTTCGAAATTCGGAAGAAATTGATGTATTTTGGCGAACATTGTACGGTGGTCTGGATTCCAAAATGGATAAAATACCTGATGGTTTCGAAGAACTTGCGTGGAAGAGGTAATTGCGTTGATAGATGAGCTTTGATTTGATATTTAAATTTGATCTTGTATTTTTGATGTTTGAGTTGATTTTTAAGTCAAATTCAATATAATTCAAGATTCTGGACATTAGTATTCAGTAGAAGAGCCACGATGTGGATAAAAAATTTGAACTTATGATCACCACATTTTTATACAGAAACTATAACTCCTTAAAAGGGTCACTGTTGCTTTAACAAGTGGAATTGAAATCTACTAGACAGTTCTCTTGATCTGTTGACGATAGACATCGCCTCTTTTGAGTTACATCGGAGTAAAAAATACGATACTCAGTGATCCTGTAGATCAGGTATCTATGCCATTGGGACGCTAGTCCTGGAGACTTACGTATATGATTCATTATAGTGTTCGATTTGATTCCAGTAACGTCGAGAATCGAAAATGGATAATCTTTCTGACCTGCGCTTTTTTTTGAAAATAATTTTTTATGGATTTGATTTTGTGATTTTTTCAGGATGAAATCACTGACAACGTTTGATAATTATTTAAAGGATGAATCAGTAGTGTCAGTCCCATGGGATATTCGAAATAGTTTTATTCATACAGAGCTCAAATTGATGGAGATAGTTCATGGTCGTTCTAAAGACTCTAAAGACAACAAGTATGTAATTTGTCGCTCCAAAACTAAGATTGTTCGTTCCCATTTCCAGTCGTTAATGAATTTGCTTTCACAGGAATGACATCGTTGATTTGACGCGACAGTTGAGTGACGATGCGAAGATTTTGATGCTAGCGGATACTGGTTTGCAGACCTTTACGCGTGCAAGCACATTACATTTATTGGCTACTGCCGTAAAAGATAGTCGGAAACCTTATCATAAACAATCAGTAAGTATATTGGTATTTTTTGAAGTATGAATTTAAACTGAATGGTGAATAGTTTTTGTATTCTATAGGTAAAGGAAATTTATTCATTAATATTGCTTGGATTTGATCAACCTAATAAATTATTGTTGTTGCATATTTCTGTTTTCTATTTTAAAGATATTCAAAATTAAGAGTAGGATATCTCGAAATCAACAATTAACAACTTTTCGAGTTTTCACTCAAATACATTCAAATTTCAGATTACCGCCAATGTGGTCAATCCATCGTTCCTCTTCGATTGGAGGAATGGTCCACCGATTCAGCGTCTTATTATCGGTCAGCAGTTGAGTAATTGGTTACAATATACACAAACTAGAGAAAATGGTGGATCTTCATCACTTCGAATAATTTCCGATGAAGCAGCTTATCATCTCGAAATGGCACGATTAGCTCGAAAAACGAAAAATTATCGATTAGCGGAAAACCATATCAAAATGCATTACAATAAACGTCTTCCAACACTTGACAGCTTTCAACTGAGTATTTTGCGTGTAAGTTTTGACTCATTTTTCGATAATTCTTTTGGTGAATGGAACCTTCCAGAAAATTAAACTTCAGCACATCACGCAAGACCTGCAAAAATAGCGATTTTTCTGAACCGACCTCGATATTAAGCACTTTTATTAGAGTAATTATTAAGATGATAATACCCATATAGGGAGTTCGAGGAAACTGGATAAGTGGAGCAACTGATAAGGAAAACAAGCTAAAAAACAATGTACCTGTGCAACTGCCTATGCAACAGAGATTATACAATTTCGAAAACCTTACTTCCAGTTATGGTTTTTCGAAAATGGTAAGTAGAATGTTTGGTAAAGATACTTTTAAAAAATGTCATCTACTCCTACTGTTTTTATAGATGCAAAGAATGAACTCCTAGTTTTCAGGAATACGATTTACTCATTCAGATAAAGTACAATAATTCACTTCTTTAACAGAATTTTGAGGAAACTATTTAGATGTGGGCGATATCGGAAACGGCGGATACCGATCGTGCTCGCACTTTTTTACAAGGCAAAGCCTTCTCCTTGCTTATGAATGCTGTGGCTGATGAAATTGATCGATTGATTTATAAGAGTAATTTAATGTTCAACGGTACACCAGCTGTAGCCCCAGATGCTCTCATTGCTGTTCTAACACAGCAGCTTAACCACGCTATCACTGAAGTAGTTTTTTTTTTCATTATCACTTTATTTTAAATCATTGTGGTAGTTTCACAACATTTATCAATAAAAATCAGAAATGTATGAGACCCAATGATTCCTGACGACTAAGCATCATCTACATTTTGATAGATCCTGAATTGTATTCATTCTATTACAAGCAGCTGTTTGTTGGTGAATTATATAAAAACCATATAGGCTGTTACATATTACTGTTTAATTAGGTCTTGTTTGCATAATTTGTTTCTTTGTGATTTGCAGCGCCGATTTTGATGAAGGCATGTGTTCTGATCTCTTGATTTCTTGATTGCGCATGTGAATCGTACTACATGAAATGTTGTGTTTCAGGATTCATCAGTATTATCAGTTGGACCGGGAATCGCAGCGAGTAATCAGCAGCAGCTAGAGCAAAATAAGGTTTCGGCAAAAGCAATCATTCAACTTGCTCGTTGGTTACAGATGGAATCCAGTTTGTTGCCAGTAGCTATGAGCTATTCGATGCGTATCGCTTTTCATATGTTTGGAGTTGAACAATCCCAGTTACCTCTACTTGGTCCTTCTGGTAATATTTGAAATTCAGTTTTAGTAGAATAAATAATTCAAAGTTGGTAATTCACAAATTTATTGGTTTAGGTAATTGAAATCATGCGGCGTATGTGATTTCAAAATTTTCGAACTAATTCTCTTTTGTGTTTAAAATTGTGAACTGTTCATTCTTCTTTTATCAAATAGTATAGATCAAACCACCGCAGCTTTTTCATCCAGGTATTATCGATTCACTTGCTGGTGCTCTCTTGAGTACTTCTTGTAAATTATCACCACATTTCGCGAAAGCTCATCTGGAACTGGGTAACTGGGCGTTTAGAAGAGCTACTGATGCTGACGGTGAAATTAGATTGTCATTTATAAGTGAAGAATATGATACAGTGAAATGGCAAATTAAGGTATTTCCATCTCTCTAAACACTAGCAAAAGAATATTTCAATTTTCTTGTTGTAGTGATATATTTATTCTTAAGATTTAAAACTTTTCAATCTCTTGCTTTAATTAGTCGATACTATCATTTCATGATGAAAGTTTTTGAATTTCAAGTACATTTGGCATCTTATTCACTTCATCATCTTATCAACAAGTTTTAGAGCAAATATTTTTTCAAATTTGATTTTATTGAGTCCGATCGTTGGATATTTCGAATAGTTATTATTTAACATCAGAATTACTTTTCAGAAAGCATGCACGTCAGTAGAAGATTCGGTAATAGAAAATCTGTTGCAGACAGTGCAAAAGTCTGCCAGTTTAGCTGCAGTTTTGCAGGACTGCAAGACTCTTGCGGGAAATACAATTAGCGAACAGACATGTGATGTGTTAGTGTGATATATTGTTATGCTCATTTTAAAACTGTTTTGTATTTTATTCACTCTTATTTTGTAATGGAACTAGCCAAACACACTTTGCAGCAATCATTCACAACTTTCAAATAGGATTGAAGGGATGTTAAATTTTATTTTAGTGGTCAGAAATAACTTCAATACGTGAATTAATGTCAGAAATTGACGTTAGTTTCAGATTATTTGGCCCGAGAAGTATCATTCAGGAAATTTGGAAAGGAGCGAATTCACGTCATTTGGCTTTTTGTAACTGTGCGGCACATTCTTACTTCGCTTATATAGCTGTGAGTGGACGTGAAACAAAAGAGGTTGGTGTTTGTAAAATTTGGGCACTCACAATGAACTAAACCCATATCCTCTCTTAATTTTGTACTGCAGGGTACAATTGGAACAGTAATGGCAACGCTACGAATTTTACAATTGCTGGTAAAAAAGCACGATGCTTTGCACCACTTGATTCTCAACGAAATGCTTCAAGTAGATGAATTGATGTGGAAAGGTTTTTTTGCTTTTTTTCGTTTACTTGTTGAGTCTTCATATCTCAAGCTTTTTTCGTTATCATTCTTAGACCCGTGGATCTCTTGGATTCTGGAGAGGACAATAATTCCACTTTTTTCCTTTAAAAATATCGGAACAGTCATTTTTCTAAAAATGCGTAATTTTTATTAGTGTTCAATTAGCCGGTCTTTTCAGATATTCTTCC